TGAACCCAAAAAAACAAAAAAAAACCCCTCCAGAGGTGGCCTTGTTTGTTTACACCTCGTCTCCTACAGACGGCTAGAAACGAGATTAAGACTCCACGTAGAGAAAGCAAAAGTGGGATCCTCCATCTTGGACGGGTTGCGTTCAATGTCCACATCCTAATTCTGATTTTATTCCTTTTTTTTTCTTTTTTCTAAAAAGACCTATTTAATCTGCAGACTGATGGGTTTGCACAGCTTTTCCCAGATGCTGATGGGGCTCTTTTTCTGTGGTGGTTTTCAGACAGGATAAAAACAGAAAAAAAAACAGAAAAAGACTGTGGCAGGTGCGTGTTTTTTTCTGACGTGTTGTTTTAGGATCCGTGGGGCCAAGAGGTCAGAGCGCTTATCGATTCTAGCAAAGAGTCCAAAAGCGAAGTGAACTCTCACAGCTATGAGGGGGAAAAAAGCACCAAAAAAAAGAGAAAAATGTTGCAATAATAATTTTTGTATTTAGTTATAAACGGTATTTGGTTTAATGGGACAATATGGTTAATACAGGACACGGTTGCAGGTGTGTGGATATATTATTTTGTCTAAAAAAAAGAAGAAAAAAAAGGAAAAAGGGTGTTTCTGGTTTTCCAACTTTTTTTTTTTTCTTTCCCTTTTCTTCTGCTGCCTCTTTTATTTCTCCCCTCGTCTCGCGCGCGCCTATTCAGCAGAACTCGCTGAACGTGCGTGTTCCTCGCGCTGCAGGATTTGAATTTCGCGGATGATTTCCCCGACGGGTTGCTTAGCAACTGAATTCAATGATATAGAGAGAGAAGTGGGCATCATTTTTCTTTGTCTCCATTAGGAAAAAAAAGTGGCAGACGCTCGCGCACACGCGCGCGGCCTAGCGTCCCCCCCAAAAAAAACTTCTGATTCGAACTTGTTGTTGCCGTTTTTTCTCTTCTGATCTGGTTTCCTATTTTTAAAAAACTCTTTAAATGAGATTTATATTACATTATTGTTCTGGATTGAAATGTTTTTGTTGACTCTGCTTAAAGAAAAAAAAAGAAAAGTCATTTGTTTGGAGATAGATTTGAGATTTAAAAAGGCCCAGATGTCTTAACGTTTGTTAACTGTGCACGTGCTCATCGTGCACGCGTTTTGTGCCCGTGTGTCCAGAAATAAAATAAAAAAGAAAGAAAGAAATAACAGCTAAAAAAAATAGATCCCATACTCAGTCACGTGACTGCCGTGCAGCGTCAGAACCCACTCCAGGTTCCCTTACTGCTGTCCCACGGGCCTCGTGCAGCGTGCACGAATATCCCACGCGCACACGGATCCCAACGACCCCAAAAGCTGTGCATCACAGCAGCTCGTGCGCGAGAAACACATCCCCACAAAAGCAGTTCCAAAATGCTCCTAATGGGCTTTGATCCGCCTATTCTACCGCAGATTTGGGGTTTGGTTTTGCGTGCTTTTATTTGATTTTTTTGTTGCTTTTTTTTTTTTTTCCACAGGGGGGGTCTCGGCGTTGGCAACAGACATAAGTCCGCGTGCGCGTGTGTGTGTTTGCATTCTCTTCTTATAGGGACCAGGTGATCCGACAGGGCCCGTAATATAAAAGTCCCTTTTTTTTTTTTAATTCCACGTGGCTGTGAGAGGCCTTTTCCATCGATCAGAAGATGATTATTAGATAATGAGATAATTGTGGTTTTATATATCTCACAAAAAATAATCTAAGTTTACTAAACGCCTGGGTTTGGATTAGGCGTTTTTAGGATTTTTGGGAATGGGATGACGCATGGATTTACCGTGCCAAACTCGTTTGTTAAAGGTTGAATATTTATGACAAAGTGCGTAATTGTTTTGTTTGGGTTTTTTATTAGTTGTCTTCGTTTTATTTGATTGTTTTTATTTGTTTCTTGTTGGGGTTCAAACTAACTTGGAGGGCAGTTTTTGGACGCACAGTCCGGTTCACAGACGCTTTCCACCCCGTCATGTTCGCTCCACGTGTCGGAGCGCATGAATATGGATTATTGGGAAGCTGCTCTCCGCAGGGAGCCCTCCTGCTCCTGCTCCTATTCCTATTCCTGTTCCTGCTCCTGCTCCTGCTCCTGCTCCTTTCTGCGCACCCCGGATGGCCGAGATCAGAAACATTTTCTGGACATTTTCAGGGGTTCGGATGGGGCCAACCTTGGAGGTGGGACCCCGAGCTGGAGGTCTGTTGAAAGCCCATTTTTGGAATAATCATAATAATAATCATTCAGATTTTTTTAATGAAGGTTATGGAGATGTTTTTGTGCATTGGGTTATTTAGAATGCATTTTAGCACCAGGTTAAAGCCATAAAAATATGGCTAAATAAGAACGATTTTGTAAAACATCACGCTAAGAATCATATGCACGTTTTTATATTTATGCATGCAATTATGCATTTTATATTATGCATATTATGCATGCATATATATATATATATATATTATACACACACACACTTTACACTGTTTGTGTTCTCAGATTTCTGAAAATAGTTTTTACACAGCTTATTATTACTAACATTATCATCTCTTATTATTATCATAATTATTATTATTATTATTATTATACTTCACAGAATTTAAACAATCTCAGATTTTTTAAAATCAGCATCTTGAACATTTGAATATTTATTAGAGGCTTGTAAGAATAAATAATGCTTATCAGGACTCCATTGTAGCTCCAGGAAGAAGAAAGCAGAGGAGGACTCTTTTTTTCCCTTTTTAAATATGACGTGACTCTTGGGGATTTCCTCTATAAATTATGAAGGTCACGGTTTTGTGAGCTGGATGGATAGATGGATAGATAGATAGATGGATGGATGGGAAAATGGAGTCTGGGGGAAGTCACACGGAGGTACTTGAATGTGCTTCAGCATCTCATCTGCCTGTCTGGATTCCAAAAGCACATATCCTACTAGTTTGCATTTTAGTCTTCTTTTCTCCTTCCTCAACTTCCTTCTTTATAAACGTGACTGGATTTAGCAGCTTTTTAAAAATGTAGTTGGAAATTCTTTCCTTGAAAAAATGCTATTTTTTTATTATATTTTTTTAGTATGTGTTAGATCTCTTTATACTGATCATAAATACTTTTGTACATCTTATTCACACACACATATTCATTTATATATATATACATATATATATATATTGTTCTGATGCAAATTAACCACGTTAATATTCCTGATATACAACCAAAATATTTTAATTGTAATCCAGAAAACTGGTGGAATTTCAAATATTAATTTTTTAGTAATTTTTCATGGTGAAACTTTCTAATATTTCTCACAGTTTTATAGAAGCTCTGTCCACTGATTACACACTGCGCTGGATTTTTAAAAGGGGTCTTTGGCTTTTAAAAAAAGAGTCAGTTTCGGTCTGATATACAAAGTTGAGTGCGTGCCCAGAGAGCTAAACATGCACACACACACACACACACACTGCTCAGACCCACAACGACCATACAAAAAAGACGTAAAAGAATAAGGTAAATGAGTTACATATTTATTTTTGTGTGTACATTCCAGCTGCTTGTGTGAGATGCCTCACAGGGGGACAGGAATGGAGATAAAAGTTACTCCAGAGGAGAAGAGGCCCAACATTCATGTTGCTGGTGTGCTCGTTTCTATGTTTTACGTAAATTAATCACTTTGCTGAGCGTCTTTGGACCCGTAAACTCACCATGAACTGATTTTAAACGACAATATCTGATCATTTAGGGAACGACAGCCCCCCTAATGAAATAATCCAGTCCTGTTTCCTGTGTCAGCTGCCACTGAGCAGCTTTTCTGACCTTACAGCGCCACCCAGTGGCGGCTGCAGCCCACTTCTCTTTTTTTCAGCCTCTGCCTCTTAGAGCACGTCCACGGGAATCAAAGTCGGTGAGTAAAGCTGACAATTTAATGCAGTTTGGAAAAGGAGGATTTTGCGTGTCGCTCTCTGGGATGAATTGGGGGAATCTTGTGAGAATCGAAAGGCTTGAGGCAAAATAAAAAAGAGGAGAAATGTGGGTTAAACTGATTTAGTTTCGGGTGAAATGTGTTGGTTACCTCAGATTAAAAAGTTTAAAATCACATAATGGTACTGCTGTTCATAGCCAAACATTACAATGCAGTTGTGGGTGTTTTTTTAACTGAGATTTTCTTTCTTTTCTTTCTTTTCCTTGAGACAATCCAGGCAATTAAGGCATTTTTTCCCCGCCAACTCACGAAGAGACATATTAGCCA